TAATTATTGTTTCTGATCACTTTCTGGGATTTTTTCATTCTCTATCTGTGCATTTCCCATTTTCCTTCCTTGGGTATCCAACTTCCGCATTTTTCCCACTCCTGTTGCACCAAGTGTTTTCTCCATCCCAGTCAGAACCAATTATCCAGTAAAGCCCTGGACCAACTTCCCTGCAGGATCTCCACTCATTTCAAACACACGAACCCCAGGCTGGATTTGCCCTGGATTTGCTCTCGCTGAGCATCCTGAGTTAATCCATGGCTGAGTTCTGCAGCCCCACAGCTCCCAGTGCTGGTGCAGGGTTTGCTGACCATTTGGACAGGCCCAGCTGGGGCTGGGATCAGGATTCTCACCTGTAGAGCCCCAGCCAGTCCCCCTTGAGCACACAGGTGAGCTGGGGCCCAGCGTGCTCCAGGCTCTTCATGAAATCCTCCTGGCAGAACGGGCGGATCTGGGGGGGATTCTGCACAGGGAAATCCACGTTAGTCCATGGAAATCCATATCAGAGAATCCCAAAGGAAACCAGGAAAACAAGGGCTGCACTTCCAGTGGGAAAGGAGCCCAAGGTATTGAGGATAAAAACACCCCAAGGTCGATCCTCACGTGAGATTCTCAGTAATTCAGCTCCTGGCAAAACTGGGAATATCTGTCACAAGAGTTCTTCCAACTTTTCAATGAATTTTTAAAGGAGTAAAACCCTCTTCCTTCAGCAGGGGAGGTTCCCAGGAGTGTGCCCAGCACCCTGTAACCACTCCCAATCCCAAAGAGAAGGAGGACTGGGAAGTGCATCCTACCTTCCACGGAGTGATGGCCCTCTGCAGAGGCATCAGGCTGGCCATGTAATGCTCCTAAAACAAGAAAAGATAAAAATAAAAATAATAACTTCCAGGTGAGGAGCCTCTTGTGGTGGCCCTGGCAGTGCCCAGGGCCAGGTGGGCAGGGGGGTTTGGAGCACTGGGGACAGTGGGAGGTGTCCCTGCCGTGGCAGGGGATGGGATGAGTTTAAACCCATGCAGCCCCTCTGGGGTCTGTCCCAGGCACTGCTCCCTGTCCCCCAGGTGTCCCTGCACTCACCAGAGGGATGATGAAGCTCTGGGTGAGCTCCAGCAGGTGCCTCCTCAGCAGAGCGCTCTGCACCTCCGAGGGGCGCTTCCGCTGGATGCCCTGTGGACAGGGGGGTCACCCACGGCACAGCTGGGTCACACGGGGTCACCCAATGTCACCCATGGCACACTGGGTCACAGGGGGTCACCCAATGTCACCCATGGCACACGGGGTCACCCAATGTCACCCATGGCACAGCTGGGTCACACAGGGTCACCCAGTGTCACCCATGGCACAGGTGGGTCACACGGGGTCACCCATGGCACAGCTGGGTCACACGGGGTTACCCAGGGTCACCCATGGCACAGCTGGGTCATGTGGGGTCACCCAATGTCACCCATGGCACAGCTGGGTCATGTGGGGTCACCCAATGTCACCCACAGCACAGCTGGGTCACACGGGGTCACCCAGTGTCACCCACGGCACAGCTGGGTCACACGGGGTCACCCAGTGTCATCCATGGCACAGCTGGGTCATGTGGGGTCACCCAGTGTCACCCATGGCACAGCTGGGTCACACGGGGTCACCCACGGCACAGCTGGGTCACACGGGGTCACCCAGTGTCACCCATGGCACAGCCGGGTCATGTGGGGTCACCCAGTGTCACCCACGGCACAGCCGGGTCATGTGGGGT